TATAAATATATATATATGTACACGTGGCTGGAAAACTTCACGCGCGCGCACTTTCGTCACATCACGTAAACGTAAACAGATATAAAACATATTCTCGCGTGAATGTAACATTGAAATCTGACCTCACCGATCGCAGAACATGAGTCATTGTTTACAGAAGTTGAATAACACACGTTGGAGAAAGAGAGGAGGAATGATGCAAGGATGGAAAAAAAAAAACAAGAACAATCGGAACGAAGAGAAACTAGCTTGTAATGTAGTAATTAATTTTATTGCAATATTATACATATGCACACATACATGCGTACGAATATTACGAATGAGGATTGTTTTGTGTGTGTGTGTGTGTGTGTGTCGTGTGCGTAATATATACGCACATGCCTGCGACATGATGACCTCTCACGACACATATGCATATTTAATACATGTATGTGTGTATATTTGTATGGATGTATGTATGTACGTATGTAATATATATATATATATATATATATATATATGTGTGTGTGTGTGTGTGTGTGTGTGTGTGTGCGTATATATTTGTATGTATATATATATATACATACATATATATACACATACATATATCTCCACACGTATGTACGTATATGTATAATAGTAAACATACGTCCGTCGTTGTAATACGTATGTGTCAACACTGTACAGCGTAGTCCATCTACCTTGTATCATCCAAAACCTCTCTCCATAGTGCTCGTGTATTTCCAACTATAGAAAAATAACGTTTCAGATAAAACATCGATCGACACACATCCTCGCGAGAGGTGCGGGGAAAAAGATAAATTTCGTCTTATTGCGCCGCAAAACTCTACGATTTTTTTTTTCTTGTAAACGCAACTATATATATTATCGAGACACCATCCCTATAAATGCTATATTCATGCTTCGTGTGTTAGTTTTCCTTCTTTTTTTTCTCTTCTCATTTTTGCCCTACTAACGCCGATATTCTCTAGGAAGTTTCATAATTAACTAAGATTGCACAAACAGAGCGAACCGATCGAGAGAAAATCAGTTGTTTGATTTATCATCATCGTCGTCATCATCGTCATCATCATCGTCGTAATAATCATAATTATCATCGTTAATTAGCAACATTATCGAAAACGCACATTACAAAGTACATCATACATACATTTGCGGCTCTTTATCTGAAACAGTTTCTTCTAACGTTAAAAATAAGAAGACTGTTTTAGATGATAAAATTAGGTGAACCATCCCGTATATATTTAACGTAAGACCGTCGTTGAAAACTTGACTTTCGGGATGACGAGAAAATTGTCCGCGGAAATTCTCTTCAGCGGAATTTGAAAAAACCTCTGCCGATTGCGCGACGCATTGTTTATGCATATTCCCGATGCGATTATTTTCCCTGGGGAAATCTCTCATGTTATACAATATATGTATGCCTCTCTTTCTCTCTATATATATATATATGTGTGTGTGTGTGTATGTGTGTGTGCGGCCGCTCGACCAGCTCGAGTTTAAAATCCCATCGTACAACTCGTAGAACCCCGTCTCTCTCTCTCTCTCTCTCTCTCTCTTTCTCTCTCTCCTTATGCTAATTATATGTAAAACATTATAAGGCTCTATTTGTTTTCTCTGGCCCTGGTAACAATCTCTCCGACAGAGACCATATCAACATTTCGAAAGCTCATCGTTTCCTAAATGCTCCTTCCTTCCTTAACTTCCTTTTTTTCATTTGCCTCCGCTCCGCTCAGAATACGACACCGAATATTTCAGAGTGTCTTCCACCTCTACATCGACAATCTAGAAATTCCGTGTTTTCATTTCATCTTCAGATGGAACATTCGATTGAGCGTATTAAATTAAGAACACTAATTGTAATTATATATATAATTATATATATAATTATATATATAATTATATATATATATAAATTTATATAATTATATATATAGTTATATATATTTTTTCTCCCTCGTGAATATAATACATATATTCACGATGTCTCTCTCACTCACTCTTTCTTTCCTCTCTCTTTCATCATTTCACATATTATTCTTTTTCGTTGGCGCGATGACACCGCGCTGAATCGGTGCGATAATATAAAAACGGAAAGAAATCGTACAGATAAAATAAAATGTCGGTCAGCGACTTTAATCGTACATTATTCACTTCCCCGCGATCTACTTCCGATCGAATTACATTGGATTATATTTTCTCCTCCCCCTCCCCCTTTTTTTTTCTTCAACTGCTTTTCATACCCATTTATGAACCTCTGCTAAAACGCTGAATGGCACACACGTTACCGCATCACATTATTGCAATTCGACGTGTCAGCACGAATATGTCGCTATTCCGGCGACTACCGAACAGATAAACCACATATATATGTACATACATCCACATACATATATATATAATATACATATATATATATATGTATGTATTGTACTTTCATATCCGAGTTAACAAATCGTAAAGAGAAAGCATTTTAATCAAGTGCTCATAATTTTATATACATTCACATCCGAGACGAGAACAATGTTAAATCAAAACATAAATTTCTTGGAAAATATAAAGGAAAAAAACATTATCTTATTTTTGCCATATCTTTCCTTCCTCGTGAGTCAATTCTTCTTCTTCTTCTGCGCGAAACCATATATATATATATATATATGCACACGCATATACATAAAATTACTCTCTCGTTCGGCGAGAAGAAGCGAGAGATGCTAACAACCGATATCAGCCCGATCTCAGTTTACTATGTGCAGTCTAAAGCTGGTTATGCAGTAATTAAAAGTAAGATGAAGGGGTTTTGCGTTGTGTGTTCGAAACGGCAGGCAAAAATAATGCAATGTAAACGTAAATATGTCCTACGTAAACGGTAATGCTAAGTATGCTAGTTCAATGATCGTCCATTTCATGGATACGTTGACGTTTCGGTGGCTGCTGTTGCTGCTCCGGCGGTTCGGGGCTCTCGACGATCGCAAGCCGAGCCGGTGAATCCGGCGAACTGTCGGACTCGTCATGAGCGCGTTTGTTAACCCCGACGCCAGCGTCAGGGCCGATAAAAGTTCCGCTATTACTGAGGAAAAGGTAACCATGTGTGAGAAAGAACACGGAGTTAACGCAAGAAAACCGGGCAGAAGCTAAGGTGTAGGTAAGCGTATACGAGAGCGTACATCGTACCTGTAATTATATGTCGTTTGTACAATAACAGGAGCCGGACTGTACTGACCGGCTGGTGACAAAGAATGGTCCTCCACAGCATTTCCCGACATCAGGTATTTCTCTGTTGCGGGAAACGGAACCGTCAAAATACCTCTTAGGAATTCTCGGGTTTACCACTTTTACCCATGTCGACACGGTCAACATGTTGACTACCGTGAACGAAATTTACCGAATACTCCGAGACGACGAGCGAACGGCGACCGACAGTCAAAGGTCGTGCTCTGAGCCGCATGAAGCGGCTACTACGACACTGTGCAACGTGACAGTCAACGTGTTCCCGATCTACAATAGGTGCTTTAAGCCTCAAGAAATTCACCGATCACAGTCGAATTACAGAAGAATAATCAATCGGGATCGGCCAATTTCTTAAGGCTTAAAACTTTATTGTGGACCTAACCTAAGTCTCGGTCTACGATAAATAATTTAAACCTTAAGAAATTGACCAATCATAGTCGAATTATGGAAGAATAATCAACTGTGATTGGTCAATTTCTCAAGGCATAAAGTGTTTATCGTAGACCAAGATTAAAGAGGAAGTTTAAACGAGATAGAAAAAAGAAACAAAGCGGGAAAACCTGGCGTGATATATCAGTCTCTACCAGCGTCCACTTTATTTCGTACTTGAACGCAGTTTCTCGAGGAGGGATACGGAGAGAGAGAAAACACGGTGATGGTGGTAGGTATTATGCGTTTAATCTAAACGATAATATCTGCCCATCTCTCACCTTCTCTGCCGGCGTCGCTATTGACGCCGTTTGTCACGACGGTAACGACCTGTTGCATCAGACGCGAGCCCTTATGAGTGGAGGAGGACTGCTGCGAGGTCGACGAGGTGTACGGATGGCCGGGCGACCCGGGAGCCGACTGGCTGAGCTGTCCCGCCGGCGACGGAACCGAACTGTCCGGGTACGGTTCCGGTCCGGGCGACGCTTCTCTGCTGAGCGACTCAGGCGTCATCAAGCCGCTGATGCCCACGTGAGACGGCGACGCCGGGGCGCTTCTGTCGATCACACGCGACGACTATGAGGCACACCCTTCGTCGCTTATACAGAGCTTATCGATCGACAGGCAGACAACGATCAATCTCGACAAGATGAGACCTTCGAGAAGAAGAAGAACGTTTTACCTCGACGACAATCCGAAAGGTGCGCGGAAGCAGGGTACGCCGCGTTGTCGTCTTCGTCTGAAGGCCTGCTCGATCAGCTTCGCTTCCGACTGAGGGTCTATCCTCCAGAAGGAACCCTTGCCCGGCTCTTCCTGACTTCTCGGCACTTTGATGAAGTAACGGTTCAACGAGAGATTGTGCCGGATCGAGTTCTGCCAGCCCTTGTCCGCGGTCCTGTAGTACGGGTAGTTCTTGGTGATGTAAGAGTAGATGCCGGACAACGTGAGTTGCTTGTCGGGCGCGGACGCGATCGCCTGGACGATCAGCTGGGCGTACGAGTAAGGCGGCTTCGACTCGTCCTTGGGCGGGCTGTAGTGCGACGCGGTGCCGTTCGGCCCGGAACCGTTGTTGTTGCCGCCGCGCTGGTAACGCGGCTCGGGCTCCGGGCTGATCTGCCTGCTGCTGGAGCTCTGCCCGCCGCCGCTCTCGTGCCTCTCCAGGGTGGAATTCTGCGGATCGTACGCCACCGCGGCGGCCACCATCTGCAGGTCGGCCGAGATGTTCCTACGCCCTTGGCCGGCGCGCGGACTCGCCGGACAGGAGTTGGCGGCGCTGATCGTTCCGGTAGGCGAGGGAAACGGGCTGCTGTAACCGGTGTCCGGTATGTTGATGCGCAACGGCGGCAACGGCATGCGCTGCTGCTGCTTCGGCGGCGAGGGTACGCGTATGTTGCTCGGCTCCTGCTCGTCCAGCAGCGATTGAAACACCAGCCGGATCGTCGTGCTTGGGAATCTGAATGTACATCTGCAATCGAGGATGTATTGTAGGATCGTGCGTAGAGAGAGAGAAGGAGGATATTATGTTGGATATTCGAACTAAATGATACTTATTATGTAATACTTTGTTACGGTACAGGAAATACTTCACGCAAGATGACAGAGCGCGATACCGTATGAAGCGGTGTCTACAATGGGAATTGAAGGCGTAATGTTTAAGAAATTGACCAATCATAATTGATCTTTCTTTTATAATTCGACTGTGATTGGTCAATGTTTCAAGGCTTAGAGCTTCAAGTATTTATTGCAGACCGGGACTAACGTGGGTATGTCAATAGGTTCTTCTTCAATCTATACATTGCAGCGCACTTTGACGCAGGTTTTGCGGTGGAACAGCGCTAGGGGAACCGACGAGACCGAGAACGACGGGCGATGGAAGGAACGGAGGGTTAGGAGGGGAACGACGAGATGCCGGGGAGGACGAGAAATCTCCGCCGGCAATGCGAGATAGAGAGGCTCTCGAGGCGACGACTTACGACTTTGGCAGTTGAAAGGGCGACGCGCCCTTACGTTGGAACACACCGTCGATGAACACGCCGTTCTTGCCGTTGCACATCATGTAGAAGGACGGGTGCTCATAGTAGATCTCGAGGTGCCGGCGTGAGATAAAGCTCGAGTGGCCCATGTTGACGTCGACCTCACCCTTGCTGCTGTTGCGGCCGATCGTGATGCGCCGTTGCCTAACCATGTATTCGAACTCGCGGCCCTCGAGACGCGCGATCGGTGCACCCTTTGACTCCGGATTCCACGACTGCATCTTCGTCGTCGTCGTCGGACTGGCCGGTGCCGACTTCAACGCCAAAAGAGCCCACGCGTCGCTCTCCTGGGTACGAGAGTACGCAGACATAGCACCGAGAGAGCGAATCAGCCGTAGTGTGGTAGTTGAAAGCAGCGGGGGGAAGAAAGGGGATCGGAGAGAGAGAGAGAGAGGGAGAGAGAGAGAGAGAGTATGTGTGTACGTAACACACACACGCAACAGAAAGAGAGAGAGAGTGCGTGCGCGAGACGAAGCGAGACAGAGGGACGGCTAGATAGCCGTTAAATAAGGAGATAAATAACACGGACGCTTCAGCTATGGATGCACCGGGTAGGTAAATACACGAGGCGGCGAAGAGTTTAAGCGAAAGACCGGTAAAGATAAGAGGAGTACGGACGGTACTGTATGTGGATAGACGGGGATCGAAATCGAGACAACACGGGTATCAAAATCGAGGTGAGACGGAGACAGACGATGATAAGAGAGAAAGGGAAGGAGAGTGGAGCATACATATATATATTTGTGAGTGGAGAGAGAGAGAGAGAGAGACGTGCGCAAGGGAGGAAGAGAGAGATCGAGAAGGGGAGATTTGTCGGAACGCTGAGAGAGAAAAAAGATGTATTCCGTACTCAGCGACGACGAAGCGAAGACGGGGAGGGGGGGAGTGGACGTACGCGCTTGAGGAGCGAATATGAATGCACACGCGGTATATTTGCGCGAAATATGGCCGGCGAGAGAGCCCCTCTCTCTCTCCTTTCTCCGCACCGCCCGGGGCGCGCGCGCGTGTCTCTTCTCCTCTCCGTCACACTGGTAAAACACACACACACATACGCATACGTTCCGCGTGTATGCGCGATATATAACGCGCGCACCGCACTCTCTCGTTACGTTACACACATATATATATGTATATATATATATACACAGCGTATATTAACGCGTATATACGAGCGCGCCGTGCGCGTATCTCCTTCGTAAGTTAAAGCGGTATCAACCTTTTCGCTCTCTCTCTCTCTTTCTCTCTCTTTCGCTCCGAGTTCGTTCCGATTTCCACGACGGCCAACGGCTCGGACGGTTCTTTCTAGTGATCGTTCTCTCCCGCTTCCTCCGAGTATCCGCGATTGCCGCAGTAAGTAAATCTCGGCAAACACGGCGACATAGGCGAATATACGGCGACGAGCGACGGACGGACGGACGGACGAATGAACGAACGTACCTTCGTAACTACTGGAGGAGATCCGCGCGCACGCACGCACAAATATTGTTCCTCTCTTCTTGTTTACTGACAATCCGAAACGTGGGTGGCCACCACGTGATGCAACCATGGCGCGTTCCGGCGCTGCGTTCGAAATCTACCATCTCGGTTGTCGCGCGGTACGACCCAGTCGAGGCTATCGGGACGGTTTTCCTCTCGTTTTCTTTCACCAATCCCCGGTCGACGGATCCTTGAAGAAGAAGTGGAAACTCCAAATCCCCCGAGATGTATGACAACACGTGACGCATAATCAGCGCGGAAGTATTGTTTCTCCAGTTTTGGCCGTGGACGTCCTTAAGGCACATCTCCATTGGCGCCTGCTCTGTTAGCACGAAAGTGCACAAGCCAAGGGATCCGTCAATTATTGTTGCTTCCCACTTGGTGTCCACGAATTGTGAACTCAAACATCATTTCGTCTTATTGCGCATTCAATGAATAACAAAGATAGGACTTCGCTACCGCTTACGAACTTGCTGTATTTTCGGTCGGTTCGTCTTCGTCTTCTTCCTCTCTTCGACGGACATACGTCGCGTTCCGGCAAAACGTTCATTTCACAACTGTCAGCGGTTTCCGCGCTAAGATTGGAGATTATTCTTTCAGATCTAGGGGAATAATCCAATGGCCACGTTCAACAGAACGTTTAATTTGCACTAATTGGAAGTTTTCTGAGCTGAGATTGGATTATTCTTTTAGATCTACGTGGAATAATCCAATTCCAGCACAGATTTCCAGCAGTTGTAAAATAAACGTTTTGCCAAACGCGGCCGTTAAGCTGAGTCTACAACAGACGTAGTATGCGTCGTTAGGATTGAGATTGAATTGAAATTTAACTCAAGTTTAGTGAATCTTGCTCTGATTGGCCAAATTTTAATTCAATCTCAATCCTGATCCGTAGTCTGATACGGGCTATAAACTACGTGGTCCACAATAGAGTTGGTCGATACAATATCGATACATAGCGAAATAGAATTTTTTCTCCCTGAGAAAGTAAGGTTTTTCTCCAGAAATTGTCGGGGAAAACCCTATTTTCTGGGGAGAAATCCTTATTTTCCTATAAATATCGATGCTGTATCGCCCGACTCTAATCGGATCTGCCTTACATCCCGTCCATAGAAAATCCAGCAGAACGGCAAGCAACATGGCCAGAGGAGCCGTTTCCTTCAGCAAGACAGCCAGCAAAATAGCCAACATAGGAGCACGCAAGCAAACTAGCAAGAAAAAATGCTTCGTGTGCCGCTGGCTTTAGGCTGATATTCTTAACTGGATCTTTTATTTAAGATCGTCTCACGTTCATCTTCAGATATTTCGTAGCCAATAAAATGAGCCGTACAGAATTTGAATTCATAGGTCTGTTCATTTTCGCTGCACCGCTGAACTGGTGCTATAAGTTAAAGCGAGACAAATATGTGTTTTCTCACTTCAACTTATTGCGCTAGTTCAGCGATGCGGCGAAAACGAACAGACCTCATGCAGCCAGAAGTACAAGGAACGAGGCGATGTAACGGTGGATACCAAATGCAAATTCCAAAATATATCGGCAAGTTTGGAGGGAAAAATAACTTTTTACTATGATTCTAGTAATAACAAAAAACTATCCACCACCGGGATCGATCGGCTCGCTTCACGTATTACAAGAACTCTTTCGGCTTTTCCCCACGTGCTCTTTACAAATGGCTCGCTCGACGAGGTGTGATAAAGGTGAAAGAGGCTCCGTAAACCTTTTTGTCAAAGATTCTATCCCAGTTGCGCATAATAACAATATTTTCAGTGCGGAGGCGATTACTCATATTTTGAATGTCTCAATAACTGGAAGCACACAAGGTGAGCATAGATTCTCAGATTCTCGGAACGTTTCAGTACGTATTTTCGATGTCGATGGACTTATGGGGACAATCATTCATTGGGTTAAATCATTCTTCATGCTACGATCACATCATTGGGTTAAATCATTCTTTATGCTACGAAATTGGTCATAAGATTCTTCTTCCCGAAAGCTAAAGACATAATCTTAGTTTGGGTTCCAGGTCACTGCAGGATTGTGAAGAAACAAACTCGTAGACACACTAGCCCAGTTGGTTAGTCCTAGACTACGTTCGAGGAGGCGTTATTTAGCGCTACCGTGTCATTCCGTCCTTGTTGCTCGTGTCGATCCACAATAGATGTTTTAAGCCTTTAACTTTAAGAAATTGACCAATCACAGTTAATTATTCTCTTTACATTTGACTGTGATTATTTTCTTAGGCTTAACGCTTAAAATACCTATTGGATCGACACTTATGCGCTGTAAGCGTCATTCTATTTTCTTTCGGCATACGATAAACAACAAAGATAGAATGACGCTTACAGCGCATGAGCGTGCGAATCGAACGCAGCCAATATACTGATTCTCGCGACCGTTTGATAACGAATGCTTTTCCCGCCCAATTACGTTGGATAGTGTTGCGGGTATACCTTAAAGTCGCCTGAAATCATATCGAGAGAGAGAAAGAGAGTGTGTAAGTAAGTGAGTGGGGTTTTCCCGCCCTTTCTCGGCCACCGTGACATGCCGTTTCCCGCCAAAAAATAGTCGCTGATACCAGACGACGCTGCACGACAGTAACGGGTGGTCTGTGCACTGTTGCGAACGGTGGTGAACAGCAGGTGATAATCCGCAGTAAATCGTCTCGGCGCAACGAGACTGCCGTCGATCGTACATAACGTTGGCGCGATCCCGCCGATGTAAACATGTATATCAAAGTGAGGCGAATAGACGGCAAAGGTGAGGCGATCATAACGATCTCCAAGCTCACTCGTGTGGAGGATTTAAAGGTAATTGTAACAGCTGTTCGATTACTTATTATCAACGTTATGCGCTCCATTGTATCGACACCGAGTCGTTTTTCGAGCACTTCGAACCCCGTTCCGTCGAATAAATATCCTCTGGTCGGTATTGTTAATCTGATTTAATAAACGATCGAACACGACGAGTACGTGTGGTTTCTGACTTTTGTCTTTCCTCAGCGCGAAATCGAAAAGGAACTGAACGCCGAGGCTGGCTCACAGAGATTGTTTTTCCGCGGTAAGCAGCTGGAAAATGGCTACAAGTTATATGATTATAACGTTAATTTGAACGACGTGATACAATTGATGGTGAAGATAAGATTAGATGATACGGAGAACAAGGCCACTTCCAGCAATGGTGATAGCACGGAAGAAAGTGAGAATATAGGTAAAAGTGTAGAAGAGGATAAAGTGGAGGAAGATACGGAGCTGATAGAAGCAGAAAGTTTGTATTACAAGATCGGAGACGCGATAGATTGCCTCGACCAGGAGCACCACGGCGCCTGGTTCGAAGCTATCGTGCAGAAAATCTTCAAGCAAGAGGCTGAACTGATTTACAAGGTTCGGTGGGAATTCGACGATAAAATTTCCCCCTTCAACGTGCCTGAAACGTCCATACGGCCGCGCGCTAGGCGTCTTCTACCGTTCGATGAATTATCCATCGGTCAGAAGGTGATGATCAATTACAACGTGGAGGACCCCAAGGAGATCGGATTGTGGTATGACTTTACGATATCCAAGTTGGAGAAGAGAAGGAGATTGGAGGAGTTAACCGGAGTATTGCATATAGGCAGGCAAGGATATTTGGCTTATATTTTTACGCGCAACGATTATAACTCATATCTATTGTATCCTGTCTATTTTTTTTCCCCCCTTCAGCGATAACGAGCTGGAGAATCTGAAGGTAAATTCCAGGGGGGAGGTGTATGCGATAGAATCGCCGAAATTATTGGTGGAACGATCGGCCGAGGACGAGGAGTTTATGATCAGCAATGGCAAACGCAGACGTATCGCAGCCACGTGCACCTCGTGCATGGATAATCCTCAGAGGAAGTGTCGGGAATGCGGTTGCAAAATCTGTGCCGGCAAGGAGGAGGAACACAACCTTTTGCTCTGCGACGAGTGTAATTTGGCTTATCACTTGGGTTGCTTGGATCCACCGCTGAGCAAAATCCCGGAGGAGGATTACTGGTACTGTCCCGAGTGTAAAAACGACGAGAACGAGATCGTTAAGGTACACTGATGAGAAAAGGTCGGGGAGATTTCATCGTCACTCCCAATCGTCATTGCTCTTGTCTCTCGCCGCAGGCGGGCGACAAGTTGAAGGAATCGAAGAAGAAATCCATCGCTCAAAGCAACGATCTGCCCAAGAGGGACTGGGGAAAAGGGATGGCTTGTGTCGGGAGGACGAGGGAGTGCAGCATCGTGCCGCCGAATCATCGCGGCCCGATTCCCGGCGTGGAAGTTGGCACATGTTGGATGTTTCGAGTACAGGTGCGAAAACTAAATAACAAGAAACCCCCTCTGTCATTCCTTCGACTATTTCGACGAAGACTGAATAGATTTCTTGAATAATATGAGAAAATAAATGCTACAGGTTTCTGAAACCGGAGTGCACAGACCACACATAGCCGGCATACATGGGCGAGAAACGGACTGTGCGTATTCTCTCGTCTTGTCGGGCGGCTATGAGGACGACATAGACTACGGTGACGAATTCATCTATACCGGTTCTGGCGGTCGAGATTTGTCCGGTAATATTTCAATTGTCAACCCAACCGCTATTACTTAAGTGAGAATCTTTTATCAGTTAAGTAAGAATCTTTGTCATTTTTATAATTAAATAATTATTAACAAACTAGGTCCCTGAAAATTTGAATCCTCGGAAAATCTGTATTTACATGATTATGACGTTCACGGTCGTGTATCGAGCAAGTTGTACGCGTGACAGTGCATATTTACGCGATGACGTGAGTTCAACGCGGACGCAAAATTTCTCGTTCGACTGCAACGGCAACTGTTACGACTGATCTGATGAAATTTTGGATGTTTAATCGATATTTTGGGGTTTACGTTACTTGATAAAACTGTTTTTACTTTTGTTTTAGGTTATATCTAGAAGCTAAGTTATTTTAGTCTCAAGATCTGAAATCGTGAATTCTCTTGTAAGAAACGTTTCCTCACCGGGAAATGTCAGTTTCACTATTTTCTCCGCTAGATGACTTCATGTCTTGGATTATCTGAATAACTTACACCATCATCTAATCGAATGATCGTCGTAAAGATCTAATCGAAAATTGCGTTGTAAAGCGTCTTATTGTCTAAAAACCGTCTTTCTGATGTCTTATTTTACGAAGGACGTCTTTAAGACATTCTAATTTGTGTTGGACACCTTTAGGATGTCCTAATTTTTTATTTTAGGACGTCTTTAGGAGGTCATAATTTTTATTTCAGAACGTTCATTTTTACTAAACGTTAACTTCTTGATATCATTTTCTTAAGAATACAAAATTAAATTAGTTTAATATGATAAATTTAACTTAACGTAATAACGTTCTCTCAGAAACAATTTTTTTTTATATTCAAAAAGCGGTTATTCGTGCGCACTTGGCTCCTTCCCTCTCTCCTTTTTTGGAAAAAAGGGTAATTTTTTTGCATATAGTAAGTATAGTAAAAAAATAGTAAAAAGCAAAAGTGAATATACATGTTATTTTAATAAAAATTAATTTTTATTCGATATTTGCACTCGGAATAAAAAAAAAAACAAACAAAATACATAGTATAAAGTACGACGTTTTAGCTTTACAAAAAAATCTTAACAATCGTGATATCTTTATTCTTGTGGATTACTTTTACTTGTGATTACTTTTTGCGATTACTAATATAAATATTTTTCGTGTAATCAGTTCTGTTCCGCATTAAGACTTTTATGCTTACTGAACTATAAACTGTAAGTTTGAAGTGAGTTGAAGAATTGTAAACACAGATTTTGTAAACAACCGCTGGCGATGTCCGTGACCGGGAGTACTCTGGTGGTTAGTTTATCGTTGTTCGAGCAATAAGGCGCATTAATATATTATCATGAAGCCACTGCCTAGAACTGTGAGGAATAATATTATTTCCGGCTTATCAGCGAGAAAAGTTGCCAGAAAATTCGCCGTCAGTCAGGAAGTAGTGCAGAAAATACGTAAATGATATTGCAGCGATACTCCTACATCATTTGGAGGTCGTCCTAAATTATTATCACGTCAGGATAAGAAAAGACTAACATATTACATTACGTCAGAAGCTGCGACAACGGTATCAATGGTCACAAAATAATTGAAAAGCGACGTCGGGAAGAAGATCAGCAAATGAACTGCTCGAAGAGCATTAAAGGAAGCTAATTTTGTGTCAAGTGAGAAAAAAAGAAACCTGCCCTTTGAAAGAAAAATATCAAAGCTCGTTTGGATTTCGCAAAAAAATTATATACCTTGGAATATTGAACAATGGAAGAACGTAATCCTTCTCTGGCGAGTCTAAAATTAATAGAATTTCATCGGATGAACGTTCTTGGTGTCGGAGAAGGGAAGGCGAATCTCTTTTATCGTGTCACGCAGACAATTAAATTTGACGGAGGTTCAGTTATGATATGAGAATGCTCGAATTGAAGGTACGGTGAACCAATATAGTTATAAGGAAACTCTAGAAAAGAATTTGCTGGAAACGGTTGACAACATGCCGGTGCCAGAGTATGATCTTACGTTCCAACATGATAACGTTCTCAGTCATTCTGCGAAGAGCGTGAGAAATTGGCTTTAGCCTAAACCGTTTCAAACAATGGAGTGGCCTGCTTAAAGCCCAGACTTCAATCCTATTGAAGATGTCTGGGCATATTTAAAAGTGAAATTAATACATAAATATAATGCTCCGCCAACGACAACTGATTTATGAGAAAAAGTGCAAGAACAATGGTGCTTCGTTAAGCCAGAATACTGCGAAAGTGTTGTGACAAGTATGCCTAAACGCATTCGAGTCATTATAAAAGCCAAAGTATTGTGAGCGAAATATTAAATATGTAAAAAACTGAAATATTTATTCAAACTGCGTTATGGTGCGAAACCGATTACACGAAAAATATTTGTATTAATTACAGGAATAAAAATATCACGATTGTTACGATTTTTTTCAGAAGCTACAACATTGTACTTTATACTACGTATTTTCCTTGTTTTTCTTCTAAGTCTTTATTCCAAGTGCAAATATCGAATACAAATTTATTCTTGATAAAATTGAAATAAAACCGCTTGTGTGTTCACTTTTGCTCCTTACTATATATATATTTCATTAACGCTAGGTAACAAGCGAACTGCCGGGCAAAGCTGCGACCAAACGTTAACCAGGATGAACAAAGCGCTGGCGGTGAACTGTAATGCGAAGGTGAACGCGAAGGACGGCGCGACGGCGGAGAACTGGAAAGGGGGGATACCGGTTCGCGTGGTGCGCAACTTCAAGTTGGCGAAGCACAGTAAATACGCCCCGCGGGAGGGTAACAGGTAAACATCGAATCATTCATTTTTACCGGTGGAATAAAGGGGATGTACACCATTTATTCGGACAATTTTCGCAATTAATCGCAGATACGACGGCATATACAAAGTGGTGAGATATTACCCGGACGTGGGCAAGAGTGGTTTCCGCGTGTGGAAATACATGCTGAGAAGAGACGATCCCGCTCCTGCGCCCTGGACCGAGGAGGGCAAGGAGAGAATCGCCTCGCTCGGCCTGAAGCTTCTCTACCCCGACGGATATCTCGAGGCGATGAAGAAGAATAATCATTCAAGCGGCAAGAAACGGCCCGCCGATCCGGAGGACATCGTCGCCACTTCGGCGAAGGGGAAGAAGAGCAAATTCAAGAAATTGAAGCAAAAGACTTACAAATTGGAGGACAAACTGATGAGTCTCATAAAGGAGGATCATTTGAACGCGAAATTGTGGGACGAGTGTTGCACGGCTATCTCGGACGGCAAATCCGTATTTATGGAGCACGTTATAGACAGGTAATTCTTCGTACGATCGAGCTTATTATTTCAGTTTGTTCGGAATTCATATTTTTTATGAAACGTATGTTACATAAAAAGCCGTGGAAAAAATCTGATGTACCATTTTGATTTTTTTTTAACGTGTGATTGTACGTAAAACAGCTTCTCCTCGGAACTTTTAAACGTGATTAACACATTTTCAAAAATGCGAATTACAAATGGTTTTTAAGTCTAATTTCCTTAAATACGCGTCACCGAGTATATTTGGTGCAGGAACAAAAAAAACAAATTTCGTAATATATGTGAAGTTAACACCGTCGTTTTGTAAATAAAAAAAAACGAAATCGCATCGAATTGCGCTAAGTTTGTGCTGACAAGTTCGTGCCGCGGAAAGAAAGAAGATTGTTTCGGGAAACGAAGCGGAAAATGAAGAAACCAAATTTTGTCAGCGCCGTAATTTTGTTTTTTTTTAAATTCCCAGAGGAAGTAAATTTGCGGATCAACTGTCTTAATAATCGATGAACAGTCGTAAGATTAATGTGACGTAATCTACCTCTTAACCGCATGATTTCGTCACATATCACAGGTTTACCGTGATATTCCTGATGGGAATTAAATTAAATCACGTTATCTTCGAGATAATCTTTTAACCGCTGAATGTTATAGATAAGAGCACGAAAACACCGGTCTCGCTTTTGTCGTTCGACAATTTATTCGAGACTTGCAAGAAAATCGGTTGAGAAACGCTATCTCGACGGCTTCTCTCCCTGTCGCTGAAATTTTGCCAACACGCTCATTTCCAATACAATTCAACGATATGTTAATTAACAATACTTCGTATTTGTTGACAATATTTTGCAGATTCCTGTGCGCTTGTTGCCTCGAGATAGTCTGCAATCCCGTGACGGTTCCTTGCGCGCACAACATATGCCTGAGTTGTTTGAAACGCAGCTTCTCGTCCGGCGTGTACAGTTGTCCTTCGTGCCGGCATAAATTGGACAAGAATTACAAGATGGAAGTCAATCGGCCGTTGTCAGCTGTATTATTACAGCTTTATCCCGGTTACGGTAGTGGAAGATAACGTTATCTTTTTCCACGCACTAATATGATGCCAAATTGCGCATTAAATTATATTTATAAGTTATAGAATGAAAATCTAGAGGCTAAATTGATATTGATGTCCTTCAATCATATTCGGACAGTTATAATCATTTAGGATGCGTTCACTTATTCACGGGAAATACCGTTGGCATTGCGAATGTTTTGGATGTATTTCTGAATACATCGGGTTGCCAAAGTATCGCTACAAACATATGTTGCTGATTTTGTCGTAACTTCCCGCCAGCGACTGCTGGCAAGGCTAGCAAAGCGACTGCTGGCGAGATAAAGATAGTCAGTGTAAGATGGCTACTTCATCTAATGATGAAATAACCTTAATTATTTATCGAATGCATTTGGAACTCCATATCTGAATATGGCGAGACAATATTTTCAACATATCTCCAACATTTACACTCTAAGTATCTGAATTCGCCAATTTATTTCTATCATTTCGATATCCGAACGTTTTCGTTATGGAATCATTATCTTTATATAATCTTTATATAATTTCTATTAAGGCTAAACTCTTTCTCTCTCTACTAGTCATATTAATTTTGAGACTAATCATAAGCGAAAAATGGTAAATTTCTCGCGTTATATAGCTTTATTTCTTCTTAGTTTTCCCGAAAAAAAAAAAATGGTTCCGTAATCCCGTATCAAATGTGCGGAAAACAAGTATTTGACCGATATGTCACGCAGACCGGTATTCATAGTCAGATTTTATATTAGATTTTATATTTAAGATAGTCTTAAGTTCATCTTTAGATGCTTCGTAGCTAACGAAATGAGCATACAGCATCTGAAGATGAGGACTTGAGACCAATCTTACATATAATCCAACTATATGAATATCGGCTGTAGAATCGCAAAATTATTTCTAAATTAACTGGTCATTTTTCAGCTATATTTGGTCGGCTATGATTTCAGGAATTAGTTTGTGATTCTACATAGTATATATATATATATATTATATATATATATATATATTTATTTATTTATTAATCGATCAGATATTTCAGTTTTCTGCACATTTTACAAGTTTCAGGATTACAAAACCACGGTGTTTTTCAGGGTGAACTAAAAAATGAAGCTACATAATGCAAGAAACTTACTGCTGTATGTCATTTCTCGCTTATGATGATCGCAAAACCAATATGGTTAGAGAAAAGAGCCTTAATAAAAAGTGACTTTCAAAAAAGGTTCTTTTTCCTGGCCCACCTATCAGTCGAAACCGGCGCCAATTGAAAGTTTTTTTCTTTTGAAACACTTTGGAAAAAAATGCTGAACAAATTTAAACCGGCATATTTCTTTTCAGCGTTTCGAAAACATTTCAATATGGTAATTTCGGTCTCGGCTGCCCGATTGTGCCTAGGAAAAAAGTAGGCAAAGTTACTCTGCGATTAAAAAAATTTATTTTATTTTTATCTCACGTTCTACTCATTCTGTTCGTGCGATATTAAAAGATACGGATAAATTTACAATTTTTTTTTACAATTAATTAATATACGATAAATTTACAATTAAAAATTTACAATTACAAATTTACAATTCAAGTTAAACAGAAGGCATACGTACGTGTAATCGTGTTCCGTTTTATAGCATTTTGCACGTTTCCTGCAGCACTTTGAAAAGATGCAAGAAGTTAATAAAGTAACCGGAAGGAGCGTTATACTTACGTGACGTCATAGTACCAGTGCTCGCAGCGAATAACGAAATGCATCCTTAAACATGCTATTTGTTTTACTGTACGATCATTGTAAACGACAATTTTTTTCAATACGCGTTTTTGTCTTTCTCGACAGCACGAGTCGAACAAAGATTACAAAATGCAAATGACTATTGTCTCTAAATTAATCTATCGTTTATATTATTATTATTTGGTTATTAATGCGAGGTATGTGAACCATTATTTATATCATGAAACATATATATATACACACACATACACAAAAATCGTGGAATCACTTCTCGATGAAGTTAAATTTTATTTCTAAATCTTATTTAGATTACAAACATATGGATATATTTTTATTTTGATGATATTGCTAAATGAAAATCACATTTTAACTTAATTCGTATATATTTTTCAGAGGACATTGCATAGTACAATACATACAGCCGATAAAAGATACACTTCATTCTTTTTCTTGACAAACCGAAGAAAATTATCGCAATATATGTGCCTTTATTAGAATAATTTCTATTCGTATATCAATCTTTTGAACAAAAGTTATCGATGAATGCGACCCGATAGGAAAACATTAATCTTGAAGAAAAGTAATGAACACTCTATTTTTTATCCGTCTGTATTTATCTGTCGTATAACTACCTTATGTTTATGAAGGATTTTTAAGAAAAAAATATTTCAAAGCATAAGAAATGTACATACGTAGTATTTTTATACAGAAAAATATTTTCTATATAAAAGAAACCAATGTGCCTGATTTAATATATGAATTTAAGCAATCATGCTATATTACAATTATATATACTATGCAAACATTTTAATACATCGACATCATTTAACACATATATATCTTATATCCATATATAAAGATAGATTCTTTTAACGATGTATACTTTATATCATAATTATATATACTCTTTTCATATACTAGAAATTCTGTTACACTTATTCACTATGCATCTATATTATTATACACCTATATATCATTGTGTTTATTTTGTCATCTTTTGTTATTTATTTTTATTCTAGTAAATTTGCATGTTTATGAAGAGAAAAAAAAATATAAATGACTGTCGTGATCGATAACTAGTTGTTTTCTGTATCTTGACCCTTTTGGATGACTTGATCAAGCGGTGGCGGTACTGTTTCACCGATCCAATTCAAGTAATCGATGTTTCCATTCTGTATCTGGAATATTTCAAAGGCTTTAATACGTTCGATCTTCGATCTATATTCCTGTGTGCGTACGATACATTTTTATTAGCTTGAGATATATGTATTCCCAACTTACAGGCAGCGAAATTACTTCGCATATTGTATACGGATGATTTCTTCTGTGTGAAAAATTAAACATTGAAAGTTAACATAGTTCTGGATGTAAATTACATAATATAAAATATAGTAACCGAATAGTTTACTTTACGTATTCCGTCAGAGCATCTACTGTCTCCGTTCTAGTTTTAATCATCTGTAATTTACATACAGACAAATATGAGTCAAATAAGCCAACAATATAATTTATATATTTGATATAAAAAAAAAAAAAACTTCAATCCTCGATTTGTTCTCTTACCAGTAGAAGTTCAGGCTCTTCTTGAACTTTTCCTTCCCATTCGTATCTTTAAGGGAAAAATAATTTTCTTAAAAGCATATAAAGAAAAGAAAGTAGAAATCCAGCGGAGTTTTTTTTTTTTCTTTGAGAAACAAAATGTGAGTAACAAGAATGACTTACACGGAAGTAAGCTGCGGAATAATATTGACGCAGGCAGCAAGTTTGTTCTCAACCAAGCCGCTTTGTGAAAGAAAAAAAAGAAAACATTGGAAAGATATCTCATCAAGACGTGATATCATTTTAGATTAAATTAATGTGATCTTTACCGAGCTATTTTCTTGGCCACCGTGTCGTTCGGCACCGTGACAAACGATGCGGAATACATTCCAGCGACACTCGACATATTCCGATAAACCTGAGTATAAATACCTCTGGCTAGGCAGAAAAACATAAACACTCCGATGCATGAAGTACGCGTCGTAAACACCATTTGCGCTGACCGGGGTCGAGAAACGCCGGGTTTCAATCTTTAACGCTTCCCGGATTTTCCTCAATTATAGTTGCGGACAAGCCAAAGGCTCGTCTCCAACGCCAAAATGTCGGTCCACAATATGCATTTTAAGCCTCAAGAAATTGATCAATCACAGTTAATTATTCTCTTCATACTCGACTGTGATTGGTCACCGTTACTAAATCGCCCGCATCAAACTATGAATTGAAGAAATTGAGATTGAAATTCGACTAATCAGTGCAAAGTTCACTAAATTTCAATTCAGTTAACTTTGCACTGATTGGTAAAGTTCAATCACAATCCTCAATCTTAGGTGCTAATCAGACTATGAATTGAAGGTCGAATTAAAATTTGATCAATCAGTGTAGAATTCATTAAATTTCATTAAATTTTAGTTAACTTTACACTGATTGGTTAAATTCAATTCAATCCTCAATCCACAGTCTGATACGGGCTTAAAGCATCACACACATGGGGTCAACACACACGTACACGCACACCATTATACACAGGCTGCTATCACACACACACACACACACACAGGCAGCGTCATTCATTGCGGGGGCATTGGTAACCTTGAAAAGCCCACCCTCGAAGCGCGCCACTCCACTTTGGTCCGTCGAATCTATCGTCGAGTTCGCTTTTCAGTTTCCGGCCGCCGTAAGTCGCGCGTTCGGTGATGATCGAGCGGGGCCGGTCGCTTGAACGAGTCGCGAGCACCGCCAGCGCGTCTGTTTTCGCGACGATTCTCGGCGACGCGATAGGAAACCGTGGCTGGGGAAGCTCGTGGCTGAAACGAGATGCGTCTCGCCTGATAGTCGAAGTCGTAGTTGAAGTGTCACTGTGAGAGGAAAGCGACTCTTTAAAGAGGGTTTTGTGGTAACGCCAGGTAGGTCGTCGTGTCGGCGAGTTACAGGTTATACGTGACGACGATCGCTGACGTACCTCCTCCGACGAAGAAACCGGATGTCATCCGCGAGGAATTGAACGGCGAATGTCGTCGTCGTCGTCGTCGTTTGTGACAGATATCGGTGCTACGGTGACGACGACATGGTGCAGCGCGCGGTCGCGCCTCGGCGCAACGTACGGATACTGTTGATCGGCGAGCGCGGCGTCGGCAAGACCTCTCTGATATTGTCGCTGGTCAGCGAGGAATACGCCGAGGATGTGCCGAGCAAGGCCGAGGAGATCACGATACCGGCGGACGTCACGCCGGAGCAGGTGCCGACCCACATAGTCGATTACTCAGGTAACTCTTGGCACCCGCACGGTCTACCTGTAGCTTGTTAGGTCCAACGATAAGTGCTTATCCAGTTCTAAGAGATTCACCAATCGCAGCCGAATTATACGAGAAAAAGCAATTGTGATTGGATAATCTCTTAAAGCTTAAGCCTGAAATTCTCATTGCGGAGCTAGCTTTACCAGCAGCATCTTTGCTGCGCCGGAGACTATTTTACCGATAAGCATCGCTCTGTGCCGGTAACAATAGGTCGATGCGATATTGTTCGTTCGGATCGCTTTGAGTCGCACCAGTGTCAGCTGTATTCTATAGTTGCAGCGATATTTCTCTGTTATTTCCCAAACCAAGTATCCTGAAAACTAACGAATACCAATGGAATACTGATTACCGCTACGTCGTTTCGCCGAATATCATTGGCTTGACGATTGCAGCTGCGGAGCAAACGGACGACCAATTGGCGGAGGAGATTCAAAAGGCCCACGTGATATGCGTCGTCTATTCTGTGGATGACGAGGACACCTTGGACAGAGCGGCCAGTTACTGGCTGCCGCTGATCAGAAGATGCTCGTCTGATAATCGGTGCCCGGTTGTGCTCGTGGGCAACAAGATTGACCTCGTGGATTATTCTACTATTGAAGTAAGTGAACCTGAGAGGAATCTGCATTTTACATCAATCTTATATATAATCTTCCTTCTCCTTTTCAGGCGGTGTATCCCATCATGAAAGAATTCACAGAGATTGAGAGCTGCATAGAGGTAAGTCCGTATGGTTCGGCTGATGGGGGAAACGTGAAGGGGAATTGTTTAAAGGATATTTCGTCTGTCCTCAGTGCTCGGCGAAGACGCTCCAGAATGTTTCCGAGACATTTTATTACGCACAAAAGGCGGTCCTGCATCCTACCACACCTTTGTACAATTACGACATGCAGGAGGTAAGTACTCGCTCACTTCTCTTCCAATTCTAATTTCCTAATTCTCCTTCGGATCGATATTTTTTGTTCCAGCTAACGGAGGAATGCAAAACTGCTCTACAGCGAATTTTTAAAGTGAGTACAGTATCGTAGATATAATTTAAGGCGTAAGGTTTAAGAAATTGACCAATCGTAATAGATTATTCCTCTATAATTCGACTGTGATTGGTCAATTTCTTAAGGCTTAGAGCTTAAATTCTCATTGTAGATCCCGCTTAAGGCTAGGTCTGCGATAGTGTTTTAAGCTTTAAGAAACTGATCAATCACAATTGATTATTCTTTTATAATTCGATTGTGATTGGTCAATCTCTTAAGGCTTAAATCACCCATTGTAGACCGGAAGTAATGTAGTAATTTTGCCTTCTTTACACCTATTTGATCTGTTTACGACTCTTTTACATCGTTGTCTCCTCCCCGACGTAGATATGCGATTTAGACAACGACGGGCTGCTGAACGACATGGAATTGAACGCGTTCCAACAGTGGTGCTTCAACACGCCGTTGCAGCCGCAAGTGCTGGAGGACGTGAAGGCGGTGCTGTCGAAGAACATCTGCGACGGCATCTGCAACGGATGCGTCACCATGAAAGGTACGGCGTCGTGTTGTCTCCAACGCGTTCGATCCGCACAAAATCTCAATCGTTGCGATGAACGACGATTACAATTGCTCTCGATTATACATGCGTGTATGTGTGCGTAGGATTCATGTACTTGCAATGCTTGTTCATACAACGCGGGAGGAACGAGACCACCTGGGCCGTGCTGAGGAAATTCGGATACGATAATGAGCTGCAGATGTCGAAGGAATACATTCACCCTCTGTAACTAACAATCAGTGGCCACTCGAAACCACCCTCGGGACGTTTATCCGATTGTGTCTCATTCGACGATTTCGTTTCAGGTTGAAGGTGCCGCTCGGCTGCACCACCGAGTTGTCGCACAAAGGCCAAGAATTCCTGACGTTGCTCTTCATGCAGCACGATCGCGACCGCGACGGTGCTCTTTCCCCTTTGGAGATGGACTCGCTGTTCTCGCGTTGCCACGTTCCGCCCTGGGGCGACGAGTACAAGTACACAGTACCCACCAATGAGAAGGTTTACTTACGCGCTTGCACTAGTTAGAACTTGTTAGAATATCCGATTCAAATCCGTACGCGGTGTTTGCCGGTATCTAGATAAAATCGTCTAGATAATCGTCCAGATGAATTAGTAGATCATCTTTATTTAGATGGAAACATACAAAATATTTGCATCTTTATTGTAGATAAGATAACGTGTTATCTCGTCTAAGAATTATCTGAAGTGATTTTATGCTCCATATTCTGAACTTGCTTTTCGATCAAATGAATGAAATAATATGGAGCTATGCGTTAAGCCCGTGTCAGACTAGGGATTGGAGATTAGATTTCAACGAGTCGACAAATTTTATTTTAAATTTTTATCAAGTCTCTAATGAAAGCAACATCGTCTAAAAAATTATCTAGCTTATCTAATTGATCTAAAAGAGAGATAAATAGCGCTACTTATCTTTCATCTAGACAAGTTAAAAGCAGAATTATTTTCATCTCATCTGAGATGAATTTTTAGGATTTTCACCTCATCTTCATCTAGATGAATCTGAAATCATCTAAGGCAACATAGAAAAAGTGGAAATATGTAGAATTATAGACAGAGTTGGAAAGTAGAAACGCGTTACTTGTAGCGTAGTTACCGTTTTCAAGTTATTTTCCCCTCAATGACGATTTGATAGCTGCTAATAACCGTTATTCTGTCATAGATACGATACACTTAGATACATGTAGATACGATAACGTAATTACAACGTTACTTCTTGAGTAACGATAACGTCAACGAGTTATTTCTCACAATGAATAACAATAATGGTAACAAGTTACTCTTTTTTTTTTTTAACGGATAACTAATAACGGTAACGAGTTAAGAACGGTTTAAAAAAAAAAACAGCTCATCCAATCCTGATTGTAGAAATTAGAAGGGCGGTATTCATCAGTCGAATCTTGTACTTAAGTTCTGGCCGTAAATACCGGCTTCAATCCCGTAGAGAATCGGAATAGAAATTAGAACGCGTCTCGATATCGTCGTGATACGTAATAAGGCGAATAATCTGTTCGATTGAAGGGTTGGATAACGTTCCAAGGATACATGTGCCAGTGGGCATTGCTGACGCTGACGAACGTGCGCAGAACCTTAGAGTATATGGCGTATCTGGGCTACAACATGTATAACAACGAGTGTCAGACAAGCGCGGTGGTTGTCACCCGCGAGAAGAAGGTGGATCTGGCGAAGAAGCAGTCCAGCAGGAACGTTTACACCTGTCACGTGATAGGCCCGAAGAGTAGCGGGAAAACTACGTTATGCAGGACTTTCATCGACCCGAAACTCGAGGTAAAGCGATATGTTGGAGCTCCTTGAATCGCCTGCATATTTCCGGCGTTTCGTCAACGTTTAAATTCACATCTTCAGGATGAGGAACGGAATGTTCGTTCGAGTCGTTCCTCATTCCGAAGAAGTGAATTGAAATGTTCGTAAAATGCCGAAGACGAATCGATGAAGAACACTGTGTTAACGGGAGCCGATTTAAATATTTCTTCACATTGCGGAAGCTTCAAAGTAAGCTTCAAGTATTACGGTTGTTCACGAAGAGGAACTTGACGCGATTTTGTTTTAGAAATTGAGCGATCAGGCGGTACCGTCGAATGCTCACATCACCGTGAACACATTGCACGTGTACGGGCAGGAGAAGACTATAGTGTTGAAGGATATAAACGTGTTGAACGTCCAGGACGCGTTGACTCCGGCGGAGATACAGTGTGACGCGGCCGCCCTCGTCTACGACGCCAGTAATCCGAAATCGTTCGAGTACATAGCGCGCATTTACATCGTGAGTACCCATCTCTGACGATTCCATCATGAATTTATCAGTTTGAAGAGGCGAAAGATCGCCCTGAATTCATACTCAACGGAAAACAATGTTTATACACACGTGATATTTCACGACTGTGCGACAGATAATTTATATTTTCGATAAATAACAAATGATATCATAGATATTAATGTTATCGGCAGTGTTGGCTGATATCTAGATAAAATTATCTAGATAATCGTGCAGATGAATTAATAGATTATCCTTATCTTCATCTAGATGAAAACAATACAAAATATATCCATTTTTATTTTAGATAAAGAAAATATGTTATCTAAAAATGATCTGAAATGATGTTATGGTCCGTATTCTGAATTCATTTTTCGACAAAATGAATGAAATAATATGGACCTATGCGTTAAGCCCGTATCAGACTAGGGATTGGAGATTAGATTTCAACGAATCAACAAATTTCTATTTTGTCTTCTTTGGTCTGTTCATTTTAGCTGCACCAGTTCAGCAGTGCAGCTAAAAAGAACAGACCATTTGTTTGGATTGATCGATCCACTTTAAGCCCGTATCAAACTGTTAACTGAGTGAGCAGTCAATGATTTTTGGTCTTTTTCGTTAGATCCTTAAATTTAGAGCGATCACGTTGGCGAATTACTTGTAAACCATTGTGCAATTTTATATGATCTGCGTGATTTTTATTATAAATTTCTATAAAATCTCCCATGAAAACAATATCATCTAAAAAATTACCTAGATAAGTAGCGCCACTTATCTTATCTTTCATCCAGATAAAAGCAAAATCATCATCTCATCTAAGATGATTTTTCGGATTTTCATCTTATCTTTATCTATGAGTCGGAAATCATCTAAAACAAACACTGGTTATTGGTGAAAACAATATTAATGTTAAAAACTGTTCATCATCTTTTATCATCGCTCTTATTGCTTGTCGTTTTAAAATTATCATCATCTCTTGCCATCATCTCGTCAGAATTAATCTGTTAAATCTTCAGTGTTGATTCACACATGAAATATTTTTTTCTATACTCAAAATATATTTACGCCTTTGCAGAAGTACTTCGCCGACAGTAAGATCCCTGTGCTGGTGATAGCGAACAAAAGTGACCTTTCGGAGGTGAAACAGTGTTATCTGTTGCAACCGGCCAGCTTCTGCAGCAGATACAAGCTGATGCCGCCGCAACCATACAGCATCTCCCGCACGGTTCGACGCGAGATCTTCGTCAAGCTGGCCACGATGGCGGCTTTCCCGTAAGTTTTCTTAATATCCGCTCGCTCTGATCGAGAACAATTGGTGACAACGTTACGACGATGCTAGAGAAAAGAAAAGAAAAAAGAGATATCGGGCGTTTGACGCGATGATTTATCAGATAGGAGACGATATTTCTCCGCGTGATGATGTGTATCTAGCTGGTATACAGGGTCCTTCAAAAGTATGGAAACGGTCAAATAACTCGTCAGGGATCATGCATTTTAGAAAAAAAATATATCAGAGGGGAAGTTGTTGGGTTTCAAAAAACCTATCTGACGGTTAAGATCCATTTGGGCCTAAAACTCGGGCCCTATGAAAATCAAATTGGTTTGTTTTTTTTTTTTTAACGGCAATACCAGCTTTTCTATGGCTGATTTATGTTCCTGACGATTTTTTCCTTTCCGAATATATAGTTTAAGTTGGTCGGTCAGGCCCGAAATTTGGGCCTCACTAGATCCTCGAAAGCAGGAGGCGGTCGTGTAACTCCGCGAAGGATTGTGTTTATGAAACAAAATGTTGAGAGGGAAGTTCTTAACACATTGCGTACGGGTGACGAGATATCTCGTCTTTAGTGAGCCGAACGTTGTGGCCGGGCGACGAGATATCTCGTTTTCAGGTTTCTTCGACTTAATCGATGACTTAAGGAATTAAAAATAGATTTTCTTGTTACATTACCAGGGTAACGAAGTCTCGCGCATTCTCGAAACAAATGGTTAGCGAATAAATGAATGCCCTGGAAGCGTGTTGAGCGAGTAGAGTGCCGTACGCAATGTGTTAAGTTCTAAAAAAGCCTATCTGATTGATGAGGTGCATTTTGTCTGATAAATGCGATCCCTCACGAGTTACTTGACCGTTTCCACTTGAAGGACCCTGTATATCTGAAAGCACCGATTCGACATCGAGACTCCCGAAAGCTTCTTGGCTTGTTCTTTCTTTTCACCACGATATTTTTCCACGTTTACGTTTACAGACAACAACGGTCGTTTGCGTTTCTCGCCGCATCTTTTTTTCTAGATTCCCCCCCCTCCCCCGTTTTCATTTCTCGCGATTCTTTAATCTAAGAAAATATCGCCTGAATAAGAAACTGCGCAAAGAAAGAAAAAAACAAAAAAAAACAAACGAAAAAAATAAAGAGAATAATTCGGTACTAACGGAAAGATGATATTTCGTGTTTAGCCGCTTTCAAGGAGCGTGGGTATTATTTTACCGAGACAGGTTGGTGTCCGAATTTCAATCTCCACACACTCTCTGTGCAAAAATCTTAGAAGCTTGAAGCAAATCGCGGATCTCACCGCATTCATTCTCAGTCATCGTGTACATTCCTTTCTGTGCATGTATTTATTACCACGGTATTTAACTTCATCATCTTCATCATCATTTTATATACGCCGGACGATTTGCTCAGAATACTACATATATGCATACATATTAGAAAAAAAAATGTCTCGCACGGATGATAATAATACTCGTAACAACCGTCTTGTGGCTCTCTTTTCCAGCCGTTTGAGACGTATGGTCCACATGTTGCTTGTCGAACCCTCATCCTTTCACTGGTGGAGTTCTTTTATAAGGTTTCATTTCGTATTATCGCTTTTTCGTGTTTTTACCTTCCCCCCTCCCCCTCTCCGCCTACAGCCACTAATTCGAATTGCCAGCTTAACGTTACCTTGAAAGAGAAAAAGTCAATGTAGTCGCTGAGCTTCGAAGCGGTTTGCGCACTTTTCTTCCGATCGCAGGATCGGAAGGCGCAAACGACGGTGGAAATGAGAAAAGTCGAATTTTCGAAAAGTTCACGAATCATAAAATTTCGATGATCACGACGACTGTGAATAAACGGGGTTGGCTCTTTCTTTTCCAAGGCGCAAATATACACGTATCGCCTATTCCGTTCAAGCATGAGCATGCCGCGCCAGAACTTGTGCTCTTCCGTGAATTTTCGAGACGCTTTTCTTCATCATTACGCTCAGATTATCTCGAGAGAACGAGACTTATCCGTTTGGTTCACATGATAAAACTCAGTGTAACTGGAATTTCGTCTCGATATTTGCGTGGCTCGTCAAGGTAGTTGGTCCTTGGAGTGACGATTTTACGGGAATCCTTCATAAATTTATTATTTACTGAAAAGAAAAAGAAAATACTTTCTACAACTTCCCACGGGGTGTCTCATTTTAACTTGGGCACCGAAATATCTCGAAAGTAATGCGTTTTCGAGAAAAATTTTTCAAATAAAAGTTGCCGGATTGCAAAACGGCCGTTGGATGACCCGTTTTGCCGCCCGACAAGGGGTCTGAGTTGGTTTTTTTCGACGAAAATGACCGTTTTATCGCAGACTCGTATGGGGAAAAAAATACGAAAATTTTCTTCCCGATAATTTTTCGCCAAATCTCCTCCGGTGCGAAATAGCGCTCGAAGTTTTTATTTCGAAACACGCATTTCCGGCTGATGAAAGCACGATCGCCGAACGGTCATTCGTTTTCAAAACTTCACAGACGTGTAAACGGTACTTCCATCCGATATGCTGTTGAGATGCAGAAGGATTTCGAAGAAAATGGCTTGACGGACCAATTGCCTTATATAATCGAAAGATTCCGAACATGTGTTATATAAGACACTGCGGTTTTATCATTACCGCTAAGATGTTTCGAGAGATTTTTCGCGCTCTTCAGCAAGTACAATACTCCGCTCTTCGGCGTTTTAGGCACATAAACCAGTTCGGCCTAATGCAAGGGGACTCCATGGTCTGGTGGAAAGCAGGACTGGGGATCGCAATCGCCACCGTCGCTGGTTACGTGATGATGCGCGTGTTGAATACGGAAAAGAGATAGTCTACCACATATTCTCGTGCTACTTCTGCGTGTTTAACTGCCTCCCGTTGTCGAGTAAAAAAAGAAGAGAAAACCGTATATTAAGTAATCGCGTTGAATAGAGATTGGGTATGACATACATACATACATACATGCATACATACATACATCATACATATATATAAATATATAAATATATATATAAATATATATATAAATATATATATGTGTGTGTGTGTGTGTGTGTGTGTGTGCGCGCGCGGGTGTGCGTGCGTGCATATTGTGTGTGTATATATATACATATATATTTATATATACATATATATATATACACACTCGTATATAAATCACTAATTTTCAATATATGGCTATTTTCCAATAGCTAAGCGTTAGAGAATTAAATCATAAAAAATGCGATACTGTTACGTGTAGATGCGCTTACTTCGCTCTTCTTGTCTCAGAATGCCGGGATTTTTTATTTGCCGTTTACCCTCCCAATGTACGTACTTTCTTGTATAAGAAGTATTTTCACTTTCTGTAATAAATTATTGTTTAATGTATTGTAATATAAAGTGGGAGAAGAGAGAGAAAATGTGACGTACTTCGTGTTTTCTATTTATTTCGGTTCGCCGAAATACGTATATTCTGCATGATTCTTTCGGACTTCTTTTGTGCGATCACAATCTTTAATCTATATATATATATATATATATA